CTAGCCGTCGATCGCTGGTTCAAGAGAATTTGGAGACTGATTTTACAGCAAAAATCGACGTGTTATTCGACATTGCTTTATGCAATACTCTAGATATCATGGAAAATGAAGAGGATAAAGCATTTTTAATTCTTCAGCAAAAACCTGAATGAGAATGCATAATATCCACAGTGAAGGATACTATCCTTGCAGCAGAGGTGAGGAGAGCAGACAGGAAGAAAGCTCGCGCCCAGGAGAGAGTTTCTCGACAGGAAAAATTCACGCTCGCTTATGAGTCCCGCCAAACGGAAGAAAATAAGTTTTTCATTTCATATGAAATCACTGAAGGTTTGATACATCAATAAGACTTTGTTTACCCTCCTTTTGATTGGTGTATTTGACGCGGCATCAATTAGAAAGTTTTATTCAATCGGTTCTATCTGGCTTCGCCAACTTACAGCTGATGTTGATTGCCTGGCCTCACCCACGGGGCTAAATGACACATTAGCCTCTATTACTCAAATCTTTCCCAGTAGCCGAGTGGCCAAGGGCATTGCCCACGGTTATAAAGAGTGGGGTTCAAACCCCAAATTAAATCATATTTTTTCGAGAAACTAATAATACATTTTTGATTATAGCAAGTAACTGTGGCGGGGGGAGGGGGGGGTTCAGTACCAGAAAATGTAAGTGGGTAAGCCATATTGAACCTCTCGAATTAAACTTTCTAATTGATGTCACGTTAAATGCACTAATGAAAAGGAGGGTAAACGTAGACACTATGTATCACAGGGATTCTACATTTTTCATTCCATATTGGAATTACTGCCATTGACATTCATGTGCGAAAACTTCACATAATAGAAAAACACTTTAAGCACTTCCCGAATTAGGGGCAATTTTCTTTCATCAAATTTTTCTTAAACTTTTCCAATTAAATTTACACTAATCGCTTTTGATCGCGTAAAGGGCTTACTATTCGACAACATCGCACCTATCTTTTTAATTAGTCCTTAATTAAACCTTTCATGCAAACCTCTCATCAATAGCAGCTTTTATTTCCCGGAGATTTTCAGGGCTGTTCTGTAGTTACGGCAAATTTTCCCCACTTACACTCCTAACCGTACAAACTATATATGTATTTGTCACTCTTTTCATCACTTCCTTGTATGGCTCATATTTCCTCATCTATATTGAAAAAGTATAATGCATTTTCATTAATTTTCATGTATTTGTCACTCTTTTCATCACTTCCTTGTATGGCTCATATTTCCTCATCTATATTGAAAAAGTATAATGCATTTTCATTATGGATAGAAAATGTGGATGCTCTTCCACCGGATATCCCCCTCCCACCCCACCGTTCGTTCCTCTACGCCGGTGTAAAGCGGCGATGCGCAACCCTGCCGCGCGCGCACGCTCAGCGGCGGGCCGGCCGCGGCGCGCCCCGCCAGCCCATAGCCTCACGTCGTCATTGGGCCGTTTGTGACCTTACGCTTCAAGATACGGCAAAACGGACGAAATTTCTGCCCTTAAAGAACCGTAACTTGCCATTTTCCTTCAGAATTGATGTGTCGCTTGCCAAAATTTTTGAATTTTGGGTTTAGGCCCTTTAGGCCCTTTGAGGCACGGGTTAAAATGTTTTTAAATTTTTTTCCTTTTAGGGGGTTCATTTAGAGACTACATAGAAACTTTTTAGGGGTTGACCAACTTGATTTTCGCAAAACTCAAAAATAAGATACACCCTAACTCACGGCTGTCTTGCCTAACAATAACCTAGCATGGAAATGAAAAATACCCTCTTTATGTAATTGAAATAAAATCCGTCGATTTTTAATCATCCAAACGATCTCTAGGAGTCTCTCGGACGTCGGACTCTCGGAGTCTTTGAGAAAGAACGGAGGCTTCTTTCAATTTAATTTTCCGGTCACATGCTTTGGAGCTCGTTTTCCCAAAACTTCATTTTGGCACTTACTGCCCTCTTTGCTATCACAGCAGCTCAGCCCCTTCCTTCCTAGATTGTTACGTATTCTATCAAGGGCCCATCACTTTGACACTAATTAATCACCGCATCTGTGGGTACTGAAAAACAATATCGTGAGCTCTAACTCCAAGCTCCAATGAATCATCATTTTCGGAAGTGGCTGAAATCTCAGGGAAGGTACTTAATATATTAAAGAGAATAGGGGTACAATGGGTATTGTTAGGCTCGTAAATAACACGAAAATGACGCGAGGTAACAGTGACAAGGGGCGTATTGAGAATTGGCAAGAAGGGAACCAAAAACACGAAAGATGAATAAATGATGGAGGTGTAAGGTTTTATTCCTCCGTGCACTTCATTGTAAAAGAAAACTTTAAATTTCTGTGTCTGCAATGAAAATTTTGTTCCGTATTTATGAATCTACATGTCACGAGAGAAAAGAAACGCAAACCTACCGGCATCTTTCCTCAAACAAGAAATTTGTTTTTTCTAAGTTCTGTCAAATTTTTCGCATGAAATATTGGTGAGGCTGTTCTTCCCACAAATTAAAACCAATAGTTTCAGAAAGGCGGTCAGGGTGGAGAGGAGGGATCTACCATCAAAAGTATAAACAACACTCTGAACATGATTTGACCGAGTAAAAGCGAATACGAATACGTGAAGCACTTTTCACAAACTCTTAAAAAATTCGTCAAGAAGTAATAATTAGAATTTTTGGTATATCTTTTAAAGAAAAAGGTTTCAGCAACAGATTTTTGAAAAAGAAGTCTCGTGTTTGAAGCATTATTATGTTTTTTTCTCAATTTCTTTAAGCAGATTAAGTCGTAAAAAGTTATAGTAAATTCAAATGTTTCAATTTCTTTACTGATGTAATTTTAATTATTGATATTATATTTTAAAACCGCACACTAAAAAGGATTTACTTTTAAACAATTTTTCTTGAAACTGTCTGTTTAAAATTTACGAGTTTCTGAGTTCTATAAACTGTTAGCACCGATTTGATGTCGATGCGAAGATCGTTTGAGAAAAAGATGAGGAGGAAAAAAAAAGGAGAAGAAGGAGGAGAAAAAGAGAAGGATTGTAATGATAATTAAAATAGATAACGCATAGCAGTAGGAATGGAAGTGCCGCGCAGGGAGGTAGCGGTAGTCTGATTTACGCGGCAAATTCAAATATCAGATATTTTAAGCAAACTTGCCGGGGCCGGCTAGTTAACTCAAAAGACTGGATTTTATCAGCGAACATCGTAGAATTCTATCGACCACATGAATTTGTATATCATTGCCGGGCAATGGTATTTAACTCAGGATCTAATAATCACTCCCGGATCGATCCCTCTAATGTCAAGATTTAAACTGCATTGCTGGACCATCGTAACCCTCTACCTGAGTTGTGATCGCAGAACAAAATAAAGGGAAATCCCATTCAGATTTTAAGCGCTTTGTCCGCGATGAATCGATCCGGCCTCCTGACACTTGACATGACGCGTGCTTTTATGAGCTATCGAAGCATATCATATGCAGTCTCTGATGTAGAGTACATTGAAGATATCCAAATGTTCCAAAATAAAGTCATGAGGGAGAAATGAATGTTCGTAGTTTACTTAATAAGCAGTAAATTCTGACTTCTTGCCTTTGAAAGGATGGTTATCAATGAATCTTATCAGGCATTGAAATAAATCTTTATGTTAGGCAAATATCTAAAGCTTTGCTCCTCAAAAATTTCCCTCTTCTTCTGATACTGAGCAGATACCTTTAATCTTGCTAGAAAAAAGTCACCGCACAGAAAAATTTTTCCAGTTCAAAGTATACTGAAATTAGTTTAGTGCGCAATTGAACTCCAGTAGAATACGGTATGGTTCTATTATGAGCAAGGAGTGTAAATTAACACAGACAAAAACCGTTGTTTTCTAATTAATAGGGGTCCGCGAAGCTTCGCATTTGCTTCGTATTTTGCGAAGCGAAGCGCGAGGTCAGAAATAGCGAAGCGAAGATTTCGCCCTAACGAACGCGGTAATTCAGATTCTCGCGCCTCTTTCGAAATCGATGCCGAATGCCGATGATTGATGGATAATTCGTCCGCTCAAACCGGTTCTTAGCGCTTGCGGCCACTCCGCGCTATTTACGTCAATCCATGAACGGGCCATTCCGAGCCCCTTATTCGCCGGAAAGTGGGAACCATCTGGGAACCGTTTGGCATTTTTTAACACTGCGGATTATGGGAGAATCGCGGGCTGCGAGTGGTTTTCGGGATTCATTCATTTATGTAAATCAATCATTATTTACGCGAATTTTGGCAAATTGTGTTCACCAAAGTCATAACAAATTAAAAAATGTACAACATTCCCGGTTTTTATGACATAAATTTTCATAAGTAGGTATTTTGTACTGAACTCAAACTCTATGAACATTAGTAACAAATGTTCATCTTTTTGTTCTTATGAGACTTTTTCACTTTGTGTTCTTGAATAAAAATAATAAATTTGTTTGAAAAGTTTAAATCGATGGTTTTCAAATTATATTTACCACAACTTTGTAGGTATTGCTATGTTTTAAATTAAAAAAGATAAAAAAAAAAAAAATTAAAATGAAAATAAAAAAGTAAAAAAAGTTTTTATTTTTTATTATTCCGTGATAATTAAAGCAAAACCAATGACAATTTAAAAAGAAAATCTTAGACTTGCTGACATCTCAATAAAAATTTATTCTTAAAATTTAGGGGAAAAGAGGAGAAAATTTAATAAATGTATTCTTCGCGTAATTCCCAGTGTTCAATGAAAGTTACCACGCTGAGTCGCGACTCTCTTGAGTGATCGCCACGAAATTCCGCCGGTTGCATCCAGCGTATTTGAAGGGGGTTTTTTTTTGTCCACTTCGCTTTGAAAAACGCCGCCTCGCGGTCCCCTACAATTTATGAGTTGAATTTGGAAAATTTCAATGTATCCACGTAAATATTGATGAAGAAATGGGAGTGGTAGTGCTTAATTTTGCACCCTGCTTCATGGTTCATTGCTTTTTCATCAACTATCTTTGTGCTCGCAGGTTTACTGGCCACGCGAGTTGACAGGGAAAGTATCTTTTATCAGCGCTGCAATTGCAAATTCCAAAGAAGAAGAGGCAATATTCGCAATGCAATGTGTCAAAATGATGAAGGATTTAATCGAAAAGTCTGATGAAGAGTGTGATTGGGCATTAGATCTGGGCTCAAAGAATATTGTCGTTCCTGTTTTGCTCACTCTTCTAAGCCACTCTCTGGACGATCTGCGAGCTGCTACCATGGACTGCCTGGAATCGTTAGTCAAAACTCCAAAGTCGCAGGATTCGAAGGAATCATCATACTATCATCTGGTTTTGCAGGTCATTGAGAGGAGGGATGAGATTCAATTGGATAAGAAGTTAGTTTCACCTGTTGGTTTGCGCAACCAAACCGATGGTTGCAATGAGACTGTTGCACACAAGAGATGCAGCCAACTGAAGAGACTTCAAAGGGAAAATTTCTTGAAAATTCTGTTAAACTCATATCAGAATTTCTAAAAACCACTCATCATAGCACAATTTACATAATCTACACTCATTTTCAAATTAACCTTTCTACAGGCCTTTCTTCCTAGTTGCTGGCAATCAGGTTTTCCCGAAGAGAGATGCGATACAACTTAACAGGAATAAATGAACTATTTTGCAACCTGTTACACATCTTTCTCATGCATGATTCCAATCATTTTGAAATTGAATCTTTTTTTTTTTGTAACACGAAGAAAAATGACGAAGTGAATGTTTGAAAACAATCAAAATCGTATATGGAAAACGGTTTGCTTTATAGATTGTTCCATCAGTGTCAGTTTTCTTTAAGTTTTTTCTTGGTTAACCTAGTTGCTGGCAATAAAAAAGGAAATAACCTCAGATGCAGGAAATTTTAGAATTTTTGTCTTGGACTCAGCTAATTTTGATGAAAAGAGTATATCCCAGACATTTCTGACGTGTTCAGCGTGATTTTTGTGCACTATTCACCATGGAAAGTCTACTGATGTGGCTCTTGTGTGCAACATATCTATCATAGCTCATGTAGAAAAATTTTCCCTCCATAGATAGTATGAACTTACGTTTCACGAATTCCAGATCCTCACTGTCCTTACATTATGCCTATGTCCTTTCAAGAGGGAAAAAACGGTTACTTTTAAAATATTTTTGACAGCTTTTTACAGGATAACCCAACAAAACAGGATACATAAGCAGAGTTCTTATCTCAGAGACTATAAGAGAATAGGCAATTGGCCCTCTACCATACAAGATGATTATTGAAAGTAAATTTGTCACCAAAAAATTATCCTATAAAATTACGGTCTGAAATTTTTATTTAAAAAAAAAATTGCACAACCCGTCTTTTACAGTTTACAAGCCTCTTTGCCATATTGACGATAAAAGACAAATTAGCCTAAATTTTGAAAACTCAAGGTCAATCTGGGAGCATAAACATTTTTTAGCAAAATGCTTTCCAACTTTTCAGTTTTACACCGTAAGGCATCTTTTGAGCACAACATTTTTTCGATTTTTGAAAAAAGGGATTTTTTGGTCCATCCTAGCTGTGGTTAGTCAGCTACAGGAATCAATAAGTTGGAGCAAACTGTTCTATTCACAAGTTAACCATCTTTACAATTTGCCCTTGTGTTCTTTTCCAGCCAAGTAAACCTGATAATGTTCTCCCTTTTGTCTCGTGACAAGGATGTGCAGTCTTTGCTCCCTCATTTTGCTGTGGAATCATTGTTGAGCTCTCTGGATTCGCTGATCTCAGTGATAAAGTCAGATGTACCGTATCATTTTATTCACAAACTCCTCCTCTTACTTTCGTCAGTCAATTCACAGGTAATGCTTAGATGCTAGGCTTTTTTTGCTTCTTCAGACTGCACTTATGTTTTGTGGTTGAAAAAATATTGTCTGTCCTTAAAGTTATTGCACAGTAATATGAACATTTTCGGTTCAGAAGTTTGAATTCATAGAGTACTAGCTGATCTGGGCGCGGCGCCCGTCACGCCTAGCCGGGGGCTATGCCCCCTGGACCCTCGGTCACTCGCTACGCGAGTGACATTCGGCTCGCTTCGCGAGCCGATTTTGTAGTAGTTGCAGATTTTTTATCACTATATTTTGAAGATTTCATAGAAAACATTATGAAATTCTCACTCCACAATTAACTTGTAGAATAATAATGGCAGGGCAAGAAATAGACTATATCTTAAAATGGACGATTCCCACTTAGTAAAAACAGCCAACACCACGAGAAGGTGAAATTTTAGTTGCGTCCCCTAAAAGGAAACACGGAGAAAAAAATTTTGTGCATGGAACCCGAAGCTGAGATCATATGGATCTCTGAAGTTTTCGGATCACGCATCCGAAAAGTTAAGGTCCATCTGCCGAAGTTCGGGTCAGACAATTGAAGTAGTTCGGTATATACCGAAGGTTTCAGGTCACACATCTAAAGTACTCGGTGCATACCGAAGTGTTTCCGATTTCTGACCCAAATTTCGGCAGCTGGACCTCAAGTTTTAAGAGATTCATATGATCTCAACGTCGTTGTCGTTCCCATGCACGAAGTTTTTTTCTCCGTGTGAGTATTAATATAAATTTCAACACAGTCAAACACAGTCGAGAACCAAGGAAATCACAGTAGAAAAGAGAAAAAATACCGTCGAATAAGTAAAGAAAACTATTATCGAAGAAATTCTAATTATTTGGAAAGTAATTCGCTGGCGTAATCAATGCGTAGCTGCGTAGGAGCATGAGCGAGATTTATCATCAACTGACAGCTGGCCGGTAGGTACCTGGGCGGGCGAGCGACAAATCGTAAAAGCGGTGGCATGGTTCGATTGACAGGAGTGGGGAACGGTCAGACGTAGGGGAAAGGTTCAGGCTGAACCGTTCAGCACAGCGCAGCGTCAGTCACCGGGTGGGGAAGAGAGTTGGGGAGGGGACACTTCCCCTCGAGTGAAATAGAAAAAGGTAGACTCGCTGAAAGTCTGAATCCTTCGAAGTTTATATTAATGATGTGCAGTCAAACTTGTTTATAACAAACTTTCTTCTACAAAAATTCCACTTTTAACAAAGTAATTTCTAGCATACAACAGGGAAACCCCCAGTTATAACGAAGTTTCATAATAAGATGTTTGCTGTTAAAAAAAGTTTCCGCAGATTAGAAATGGCAATTTCTTCCAAAAACCGTAGCGTAAAATAAGTTAAAACCTAAGGTATTTTTAATTGATGTTGACTAAAGAATCCGGATCATTCTTTGACGGATGTCTGCTGTCTCCATGTTTCTTTGGTTTTCAATTTTAGAAACTATTTGATCAATTTTAGATTTACATTGAATGATAGTTCTTGATTCATAGATGTACCTGCAATGAGCCAGTTCGGCTGAATTTTTTTATTACATATTATGAAAGTCCTTGGTGAAATGAGTATACAGAATTTTTTCCAGATTTTTTTGAGCCCTCTGGCTCTGAGAAATCTTACTTCAAAAACGCGAAAAATTGAAGGTCTCTGAAACGCTGTTTGAATCGCGCGGGCTGAGAGCTGACGTCACACTTTAGGTGGTGACCACCCTTGGTTTATTCCAAGTTAGTCCGAACAATATGGCTGCTGCCCGGTTTGTTTATTTAGCGAAAGTTTCTAGCTGTACATTGTGATTTAGTGGTAAAATTTGACGAGAAATTTGTTGAAACATTTGGTTTCGTCACAAATTAACTCTTTCTTGATGAAACAAGGCGTTAAAGTTCGCGAAATTTATTCACCGGGCGACCGCGAGTGAGCATCGGCTATCGGGAACGACGGGCTCGTAAACAAACGAAGATTGATAACAGGAAGGATCCAAACAACTCGGAATCTTTTAATTTTCTTTACCTTTAAACCATTTCTGACTTCTACAAAGCATCTGACAATCAGTTTTATCGTATTTTACAACCTTAAGCTAGAGTCTATCGGCTCATTGTGATGTGTATTCAGAGCATTCTGAAACAGAAAGTCAGTTCTCATAAGTTCACACCCAGACATTCTTTTCTTGGATCATTCGCTTTTCATTTTCGCCTCAAATCAAGTGTTTTGTAGTTTCCTTATCTGAAGTATGTGGTTTTGAATTCATACAAGAGTTTGAAGTTCACCTTTTTTTAGCATTAAAGCCTGTTGAGCCCTCAAACTTTACCGATATGATTACCTACAGTTCAAGGTTCCTCTGGTCCGTACCAAGTGATTACACATCAAAGATGTGTCTTATGGTTCTTCAAATTAACAGTTCAGAAGTAAATTAGAGACTACAGTAACTTAATCCACTCCTGCCCTTTCCTTCAGTGTTTGTTCGTGTCTGTTCTTTATGCGTTACCACTCTAGTGCATACACCGGTAATGTAGGTTAGTTAGGTATTATCGCATATTTTCTACTAGCAGTACCTTCTCTTAAGCGTTGTAATTTAGCAAAGAAATTCCACCAGTTGCAGAAAATTGTGTGCGTAATGAATAAGTGAATATGAATACCTCCTTTTGGTGACTCAAAGTTTCTCAGATCCGTCTCAAGGAGGTTTTGCATGTAGGTGCATGATCAGTTTTGCCAGATGAAATTACTGCTCTTGCAGCTTCAAATGTATACTTTGATCTCTGATTCACTAATAAATGACACTTTATGGTGTCATTTATATTTAATCAGTTCAAAGCTAATTCGACAAGGAATCATCAAAGGTCCGATGGAGGAAGGAATTTTCCGGTGAGTGCCACGGCTGAATCAACATTCCAACTAGACTTGCGAAGGTATCAACCCAAACAGATTCATGAGGAAGTGATACCTATATGGTAAGTGGTAATTCTATTAAGGCTCTTTCATTTCTTAGGTGCGGTGTGCATTAAAAATTTCTAAATCTGCTCATCTGCAGTCATATACTTGAAGAGGAGTACAACATGAAATGTAGGTGAAGTAACGAAATCGTGGGAATGAGGTAATCCTACAGCTTCTCTCCACTGAGACATGGACGAAGTAATCTGAAAGCCTTAAGCTGGAAGTTGCTAATGATGGAGGTTCCATGGTGTTTTTCCTGCCTTGAAAGATAAGGTTGTGCTGCAGGCCTTAAGCACTATGGAAAATTTGAAATATTGTGATTTTAAACGCAGGCTCCACTTCATCTAAGAATATGGAAATCGGTCTCAAGTGCTTTCTCCGATAACTTTCAGAGTTTTTATTTTCATATTTAAGAGACAATTATGAGATGATTATCCTACTATTCCTGGTATTTCTGATTGAGAGTCAACTTGTTCACTTGATGCATTCACTTTCCTTTCAAAGAATGAAATATTAGAGGTGACTCTCAAACACTGCAACCGAGAAAGGGCCTTTTTGCATCCAGTGACTCAATTACGTATTGACTACGGTGTTCAAAACTTCTACTTTAAGTTTAGATTTTAAATGGAAAACAAGTCGACTTACTGCTCTACATATTCACAAAATTTTCTGCACGTAGAAGATATAAATATCGCACACATTTCAGAAATTTTGTCGAATAATTTTTCCATTAGGACATCAAGAGAAGCAATCAGACTAAAACTTAGTGAATGAAGGTAAGTACTTTCTCAGATTAGCCATGCCACTACTTTTCCTCGCTTTTTCATTAATCATTATCCACAAAGTTAAACATACTTAATCTAAATGTTACACTGAACTCGTGTATTTAACCTGATAGTACCTCAGTAATTATAATTATCTTACCTGTTAAACTGTATGATGCAATGAAAAAAATTTCACTTCGAGACAGATGATCATTTCCTGGTTGATACCTTCGCAAGTCTAGTTGGAATGTTGATTCAGCCGTGGCACTCACCGGAAAATTCCTTCCTCCATCGGACCTTTGATGATTCCTTGTCGAATTAGCTTTGAACTGATTAAATATAAATGACACCATAAAGTGTCATTTATTAGTGAATCAGAGATCAAAGTATACATTTGAAGCTGCAAGAGCAGTAATTTCATCTGGCAAAACTGATCATGCACCTACATGCAAAACCTCCTTGAGACGGATCTGAGAAACTTTGAGTCACCAAAAGGAGGTATTCATATTCACTTATTCATTACGCACACAATTTTCTGCAACTGGTGGAATTTCTTTGCTAAATTACAACGCTTAAGAGAAGGTACTGCTAGTAGAAAATATGCGATAATACCTAACTAACCTACATTACCGGTGTATGCACTAGAGTGGTAACGCATAAAGAACAGACACGAACAAACACTGAAGGAAAGGGCAGGAGTGGATTAAGTTACTGTAGTCTCTAATTTACTTCTGAACTGTTAATTTGAAGAACCATAAGACACATCTTTGATGTGTAATCACTTGGTACGGACCAGAGGAACCTTGAACTGTAGGTAATCATATCGGTAAAGTTTGAGGGCTCAACAGGCTTTAATGCTAAAAAAAGGTGAACTTCAAACTCTTGTATGAATTCAAAACCACATACTTCAGATAAGGAAACTACAAAACACTTGATTTGAGGCGAAAATGAAAAGCGAATGATCCAAGAAAAGAATGTCTGGGTGTGAACTTATGAGAACTGACTTTCTGTTTCAGAATGCTCTGAATACACATCACAATGAGCCGATAGACTCTAGCTTAAGGTTGTAAAATACGATAAAACTGATTGTCAGATGCTTTGTAGAAGTCAGAAATGGTTTAAAGGTAAAGAAAATTAAAAGATTCCGAGTTGTTTGGATCCTTCCTGTTATCAATCTTCGTTTGTTTACGAGCCCGTCGTTCCCGATAGCCGATGCTCACTCGCGGTCGCCCGGTGAATAAATTTCGCGAACTTTAACGCCTTGTTTCATCAAGAAAGAGTTAATTTGTGACGAAACCAAATGTTTCAACAAATTTCTCGTCAAATTTTACCACTAAATCACAATGTACAGCCAGAAACTTTCGCTAAATAAACAAACCGGGCAGCAGCCATATTGTTCGGACTAACTTGGAATAAACCAAGGGTGGTCACCTAAAGTGTGACGTCACAAATCGGCGTTCGCGCCACGCCCCGGATTCAAATAACGTTTTTGAGGGGCACGATTTTAAAATCGCATTTTCTCCCCTTAGCAATGTTTTTCAAAACTTTTTATTGTGCTCATCGTTTTTCTGGTGAAATTTTACATATAGTGCAATAGCTTTTAAGCCAATCCCTCACCAGCCGAACTGCCTCATTTTTGGTTCATACCTTTGTGCAATTATTGAGGTAAAATTTCTACAAGGAAACATTTGACCGTAGGACAGAAAATGCATATGACCCCAAGAAAGAACTTGATCTAGTTTTAAAATTCAAAAACTAACTACCTTAAAGCTTACTTTTGGTCTTATTCAAAAGATCAGTTTAAAATTCATCGTTGGAGATCAAAATTAACTCATTTGATCAAAAACTGACAAAGTCATGGTAGTTTAACTCAAGTAACATAGGAATCTCCAACCATGTTTTACAAATATTTTTGCCAATTTTGCAAATATGTAAAAGTCAATATGCTATAGTCATTTTGGGTGCATTTATTTTTCATGAAACAATAATCGGTATTATCAATCCCGAAAGACCATCAATTTTCCGTATAGAATTGAAAAAATCGAAATATGTCGATTCCCTGACATGAAAATTAGATTCTATGTGATAAAATACTTATGTATCGATGTGCTGAACAGAAACCATATGTGGACAGTCAGAAGTCTGCGGCAACATCAATTCAACAGAAACACGGCAAAAATTAGATCGGATTTTAGCCGCTTTGCTGGCCTCTCCTCGTTACTTAGGAACCGTTCCTATACTCATGACAAAATTTTTCCCAGAGCTTTGGGTTATTATCAGCTTCCATTTAAACCCCGGTTCGATGGCCGAATCGGCTGCCCATAAAGCAAGCCATTTTTGAAGGGTTCCATGAGAAATTCGTGATATTATCGGCTCTCAGGTAATCACCCCATGGCTAAAATTGGTGGTATTAATGTTTGAAAGCTTAAAATAATCGTATTCAAGAAAGTTAGGTATTAAACTGTGAAATCAATTTCTTTTTAATAATATAATGGGATTTACTACTGGTGATTTAGCTATTATAGCCCCAGAATAATTTTTAATCTCCTTTATTTTTCAATAATCTCAACGGATTTTTTTTTTGCTTAAACGACTCAAGAGACACTGTAGTTAAAAAATATAAAGAATTTTCGTTTTGGACATAAAAAAATGTTTAACTCGTTTAGGCACACCGTGTAATGTATGGAGCACTGCTGCTATTTGACCCCTGTCTTCAGGTCAAAATTCTTACAAGGAAGTCCCTTGTAAGAGACGAATTTTTTGTTATTTCCCCCAATTTTTTCTCCATTACATAATGGAATTGCTTGTCAAATTCTGAGGTCAATTATATTTAAATGTAATTTATACATTTCTTTTTTTCCCTTCATTTTATTTTTTGTATGGAGAAGTGAAGGTTTTGTTGATTTCTTCGGATTTCGAATACTGTAAATTCTCTTCTATTCGGCCGATTTGTATGAATGAGGCCTCTTTTTATTCGTGCTTTAACGGGGAGTAAGGAAAAGATTGCTAAATACATGAAAAACAATTTTTTTTGAAAATTGGACGAATCCCAGCGTGATGGTGAAATGGTTATCCAAGCGCAAGTAATGCGGTGAGGGTCCTGGCGACCGCCGGGATCCAGGCTATTGTTCCTCTCGAGACACCGACGCAGTGGTCAGGCGCGTGGGGAAGAGAGGGGCAAGTGGATTTCTATATGTGCAAGTAGCTTTCTGTATGAGCCATGTTTAGCAAATGGTCTAATGAGTCGCGAGGCTCATCACAGATTGCACTTAGGGGCTGCCCTGTGCCCTGGCTTAGGCCGGGTCGGAGAAATGAAATTTTTCCCGGAAATGAATCATGTTGAAAAAAAGTTTTATTACCATGTCCGAATAATGTATATAGAATTTGAAGCGCCTAAGTCAACTCTAGACCCTTCCACCTTTGCGATTAAGGCGAAAATTTTAAAAATGCATTTTATAGGACGAAAAAAGGTCGTTTCCGGTAGATTTTCCCGAGTTACTGGCGCCTAGGGCGAAAATTTCACGCATTTAGCCGTAATGTAAGTGGTTGAACGAGTAACCGGCGAGCGAATCAAAATGAAGCAGCGACACCGCAGGCCGCGCCGCCGTGACGCTGCGCCTACGCCCGCCCATAGCGCGACGCGCGGCTGAACACCTTCCGTTAGCCACTGATCGGGCGCCTAAGGGAGGGGAATGAATGTGTGAGCATGGTTAGAACTGATTTCTCCATGAATCGAACCCTTTCCTTCAACATTCTGATGCTCACCTCAAAGATCACCTATTTACCACCTATCACCTATTTTTATACCTTCCAAAACAGAGAAAACTTGAAGTGTGCAGAGTTCACCTACTTTTGCAATTTCCTTATTGATTGAATGGGATTTAGGAAATTGCCAAAAGAGTTAATTTGTTCTTATTTCGCCGTACCAATTTGACAGTTTTTAGCTGCTGAAATACCATTTGGAGCTAGGTGCACAGATGCTTGCAATGCATGATGTTGAGTCAGGCGGGAGGCGGGCTTTACCGCCGGCGTAAGACTCAATCGCTTCAGCGTGAAAACCCACCGCTTGACCTGGGTCATTTCTAATGCTATCACCTGATTGGCTGACAACTGAAGGTGAAAACTCCATCCCAAAATTTGAAGTTCTTACGCCTGTCCTGTATTCAGTCACAAGTCTCTCAAGATTCAGTTTTGCTTTATCGTTCGAACGACGAACATCGAGAGAACGAGCCTGTCGCGTTACTACGCAAGTTAATTAAGTCGTCAGTTGATTGAGTCATTGAGCCAGTCAAGTTGATTCAGTTGTTGATCCGTAGACAAATATTACGCGAATGTTGAGTCAACATTTGAAAATGGTGAAGGAAGTGACGATAAAGGCCCAATCATGTGCTCGTTTTTGGTGTTTCTGCGCCTGAAGTGGTTCAATGCTGCCAACAAACCGGGAGGTGATGAAGTTTTTTTTATACACTCGTGAACCTTTACGATCCGAAAATTGTGGCCAGAAAACTACAATCCGCACATAAGCTCGCCGGTTACTCGTTCAACCACTTAAAATACGGCTAAACGTGTGAAATTTTTGTCTAAAGGGCCAGTAACTCGGGAAAATATACCGGAAACGACCTTTTTTCGTCCTCTAAAATGCATTCTTAAAATATACGCCTAAATCGCAAAGACGGAGGGGTCTAGATTTGATTTAGGCGCTTCAAATTTTGTATATGTTATTCTGACATGGTAATACAACTTTTTTTCATCATGATTCATTTCCGGGGAAAAATTTAATTTTTCAGACCCGGCCCGGGGGGGGGGGGGGGGGGGGGGTCCTCCTCCTGACCGCTTCGTGGTCCCACCCCCGGAGATTTGTGTCAAAGCCCACAAATTTGAATCCACAATGGTATTTCATTTTTCCGACCCGGCTCACCCTGGCTATCACAGCAGTGGTACCAAATTTTGAAAAGCATAACAGGGGTGTAGAGATCTGTCAAAGCAACGTTTTAAACAAAACAGAGTAGTGAAATTCTCATTCCAAGAGTGCTGAATTGCTCAGCCATCCTCAAATCAGTTTGTTTGCTTTTCTCATATATGCATATCTTATATCAGCGCGGAGCGGATTCATAAGTATTGAAAAGAAACTAAATAACGGAGCCCCTTCATCTTTAAAATTTACAGTAAGAAAATACCCAGAAAACAGGAAATCCATCAACCTAACAGATTGAAGTATTAGTATCTTTTTTACAAGCTCTCAAAGATTCATGACGAGCCTGCCAGTCACTTTCCGGTAAGCAACTCAGGCACTCGATACATTGTATCAAGTAGGGGGTCGAAACGATCGCGAAGGTGGTGTATACTAAGTATATGCGCCAAAAATAAAAATCTTAATTTACAACAAAAAAGTCTAATTTTGACCCATAGAACAAGCTCCTGCAGTCTGGCCTTTTAACCCGGGATCACCCTGTATTTACTGATCTTGGCCAAGAATGCTCATCATTTGTCACATCCCTATGAAGAAAAAAGATGTAAATCTTTTACGATCCTCCTTGACTATGGAATTCATTCTTGTAGGGATGAATTTTCCAGGAAATGAGGTAACTGTGTTTCGAAGGATTTTTTCTTCTTAGATATTAAAGATATGTGTGGGGGAAGGGGGCATACATCGATACTGAGACGGGAAAAACACTATTTCTTTTGCCTTTGTCCCCTCTGTGATACCTTTTATCCTAAATATCACATTAAATTTATTTTTCAAGTGCTTTCTTTACATTTTTGTCTCCAGGAAATTGTACTGAGCATGGTGCCTTTGGCTAAGTCACTAATGGAATCGCTGAAAGTACTCGTCACCAGAAACAGACAAGAAATTTCCGATTGTTTAGTTGAAATTGTCAAAAGATTGAATGTAGGTGTAGTCAGCTGCTTAGAGAACACGTCAGTTTGGGCACTAGTTGTAGATATTCTTTCAAGCCAGTCCTCAGATATCAGCACGGATGACACCTCCAATAACACTTCCTTGTGCGTTCTCTTCTTAAAACAGGTGTGTGTGTTGTTATTTGTACTAAATACTTGTTAGCAGCACATATCGGCAATGAAAGTCCGCAACTTTTTATCTCGTTTGCGCCGTTTCGAAATCTCTGCTCCTATTTTATATCTGTAAAGGAGAACAAATCGACATCATTCCTTGAAATTTTCGCAGAAAGAAGGAATATAACGGCAGCTTTTATAAGTGGGGTTGTTGCATGGGTGAGAGATTTGAAAATGAAAAATATGTAGCCATCGATCGTTTCGCGAGGGAAACGATAGTAACATTTAAAAATTCCAGAAATGAATCTGTAAGCCCGATCAAAAAAGTTCCAGAAAGTCTCATCAAATTCAAGTTGGAAATGGATGATTTTTGTTGGCTGCTATACAGTTGCTCTAAGTATGTGTTGCATTGCATGAGAGTCTCTCCTGGCCAACATCACCCGTATCTTGACAGGTGTGCTTATTCTGTGGAGGTTAGGTTAGCACACTATGATTTTAACACTTTTAATGCGGTCAACATACCACCCGCGATTTTTTTGCGGAAATGCCAACTAGAAGGCCTACTGATTGAGGAACAACAAACCGCGAAATCTGTAGTTTGGCCGTTTTTGAGAAAATGCGATTTTTCGCTCTTTTGGCGGGAATTTCGGGTCAAGGCGCTGAAAAAGTCAAGTTAGGCTGTTTTTGTGGCTTGTAAATCCATATTCTACACATTTTTAGTCAATCAAGTGTCAGTAGATAGCTATTCGTGCATATTGCCAAAAATTGCCCACAAATTGCCTAAATTTCAAAATGGGGGCCATAATAAAGCCTCCGGGATTTCGATTTTTTTAAAATACGCATACAATGTCATGTTAGGTGTCGACTCTTACGTAATTTTGGTCGTAGATTTCAGATATGAAGTTAAAAAAGTCCCCCGGCCAAAGGGGGTACCCCAAATCCAAGATGGCAGCCAATTTTGAAAGACAAGAGAGTGAATTTTTAAAATGTTCGCGTGATAAGGCAAGTGAGGTATCATTTCCTATGTAATTTTGGTCGTAGATTTCATTTATGAAGTCATAAAAGCCCTCCAGTCAAAGGGATTGCTCCGAATGCCAAGATGGCGGCCAAATTTGAAAGGCAGGAGGGTGAATTTTTGAAATGTTTAAGTGAAATTCATAGTAAAAGTGAATCAGCCTGACGTCAGGCTATGTTTCATAAACTACCCTGAGTCAGACTGATGTCAGCCTGAATTAGTAACATGAAACCTGAAACCTAACATGACACTGTATGCGTTTTTTAAAAAAATCGACATCCCGGAGGCCTTATTATGGCCCCCTTTTTGAAATTTAGGCAATTTGTGGGCAATTTTTGGCAATATGCACGAATAGCTATCTACTGACACTTGATTGACTAAAAATGTATAGAATATGCATTTACAAGCCTCAAAAACAGCCTGACTTGACTTTTTCAGCGCCTTGACCCGAAATTCCCGCCAAAAAAGCGAAAAATCGCATTTTCTCAAAAACAGCCAAACTACAGATTTCGCGGTTTGTTGTTCCTCAATCAGTAAGCCATCTAATTGGTATTTCCGCAAAAAAATCGCGGGTGGTATGTTGACCGCATTAAAAGTGTTAAAATCGTACTGTGTTAGGTTAAGCTCATCTCGAGCTCTGATTGGCTACAATTATAAGTGGACGCTGCCTGATGAACCCGAGCAGGGCCAGTTGCCACGTACCTCTGCTCCCCATAATACAATTATGATATAAGTCTATGCTGCTCACCACAGAAGGGCTCCCTTGCTCCATGTAGAATACAGGAAAAGGGCAGTTTTTAATTCCTCTTTCATCCTAGAAGTCGTTGTGAAGAGCCGAAAACTAGGTTTTCGGCCAGTTTTTTAAGAAGTTTTCCAGAAAAGAAGGTGGGCAGAGCTTTGTGAGATTCCGAAGTAAAAAATTGTCTGCATCCTTTTTAATGCAAAACAATAAGACAAGCTTCAAATCGGCCAAATGGGTGGATCAAGGCATTTGATGGGGAAGACTATGATATCAGAAACAGGAGGGCATATTTCCAGGCATACCATGGTAAAATTCTGTCCTATTTTTCGTTTGTACTTCTAAATATTGTCTGTGTTTGTCTCTATCATGCGCAATTCTTTTGGACTATTTTTAAATAATTTTAATAATTAAATAAATTATACCGATGAATTCAACTGATCAAAATGAATTAATGCACTGTAGTAAGACTAATATAATCGCTGTAGTTTTTTCGTTGTATTATAGATTGATTTTTTTTCACATTGATTCTTAATTTCATTTTTTTTTTTTTTTTTTTTGTGATTTTGCGTTTTTCTGGACTTAGGCAGTTGCTATAAAGCAAAGTAAAAGCTTTTAACAGCTGTTCTTTGCCATTTTCTGAGAGCGTATTTTGCAGGCCAAGTATTTTAATTTTTAGCATTATGCTATGAGTCATAAGACTTTTCTGAGGTATCCAAAGTCACTGATTCTAGCCACATTAAATATGAACGCTGGGCGTGGATGGCAAAAAATTAACTGCAACACTTATAGATTAAATCCTCCCAAATTTTTTTTTTCTAGGTGACTCCAGATTTCTATGCTGCCTTGTCCCCTGCAATCCAAGACAAATTGCTGCAGCAATTGATAACTATTTCTGCCAATAGTGAAAATCCCGAAGTGGTCTCTGCTGTTGCCTCAGTGTTCAAGCATATTTCAATCGATTCCCGTGTTGTGGCCAAACTCCTGTCTCAGATGAGGGATGCATCCACCCGTATCCCACAGACTATGACACCTCTGCAGAAGCGCAGGTTCGTTTATTTAATTCATGTGTAATTTTCAGGTTATCTTGTTTTATTCTTGTAAAACGCAAATCTGATGAGACTCAAGCTACTTTTGTGCTTTTCATGTGTATTTAATTCATCACCAAAAAATATGGCACTCTTCTCAAGAGCATTTCGTTCTCAAATCTTAATTTAATTTCCAGTCAAATCTTGTCATTACATCCTGACTTGGTCATCTACATCAGGCTGGAGCGAGAAAATATTATTTTATGAAGATGGCTGACACTGATGAAAAGGTGCCAAATGATGTCAAAAGTAAGCTGTAATAAAAATTTCAATTTGACGTATTGGGCCTTAACCCTTAGCACTGCAACCATTCATTGGATGATAGTTGATCACGAAAATTGCAGGGATACACCGCATAATCATTAGTACAGACTCTCTGACCCTTCAAATTCTTATTTATTCTCCAAGTCCATTTTAGAGATTTTTCTTGCTGGTATTCATGACTTTTGTAGCTACAGAGCACGCCTTCATTTCCTCCCGCACGCAACAAGGACAACCGCAATGATAAAGAATTCTATTTGGCGAAATCGAGCCGAAAGCAGGCACTAGTATGTATGGGTTATTATAGTGATGGGTGGGATTTTATTTAAAATTCCTAGGTATAGTTTAGTATTTGCTATAGTAAACACTTATCATTTATTCCATCACTTCTTCGGATTATTTATTTTTAATCAATCTAAATTCATGAGAAGTGTAGTTCATCTGTATTTCCATTAATTTTTTCTTTCCCTGGAACCTAATGTACATGAGTTTGAATCCATCTCAAACTAAGCCAGTCAAAAGCAAATTTAACTACTTACGACTTCAGTGAAAACGAACTGTATTTCGCAAATTAAAGTGATAATTAAAGCAACCAAACTGTCAGTCAGAAATGTTCCAAAATTACTAGGCAATGCTTTTATCAGCTCATCATTTGATCCAATAATTTCAATTGTGGCATTTCATCCGGCATGTCGCTGCACGACTTCTATGATACTGAAAGTCTTAATTTTTTCTTCAAGTACTTAGAAAGTACTTAAAAAGTACGTAATTTTTTTTTTTTTTTTTTGTAGACCTCAGTAGACACCTTGTATTACTAGCATAAGCAGCAAGCTGTGCGGATTGACATGCAATGACTTTCACTAAATCGACAATATTCGGCATTTTGGAACAAGTTTTTATTGAAATAAAAAGTTACCATTTTAGTTACACGTACCGTAAAAAGTTACCTAACGACTCAACGCGCCCGCTTTTGTTCTGTTGCTGTGAGGGGTAATTTACAAATTAGCAAAATTTCTTGCTCCTTTGTTCCCTGTACACAGGATTACATACATATTAACATGATTTGGACTGCATTTTATAATGAGGAACTACAATTTCTAGCTCAGTTTAGAAACTAAGTATGTAGTATTAGTTTCTGCAAGCATAAGAGATTTTTTACGGATGAGCCAGAAATTGTAGCTCCTAATTGTGAAATGGAGTCCATTTGATGTGTCTGCTTTAGGAATTAAAAGGATAGCCCAGGTGTGGCTACTTAACTGAAGACTGAAGGACGAATCTGTTTGAATGTCTGTGCAATTGACAGTTTCTCATCACAGGCCCTCTGTAAATCAAACGTGTGAATTAACCTGGAGGGAATTATACTCTACAAAATGACCTTCTGTCAAAGTGCTCTTTCAATTCTAAATTCACCCATGGAAATGATTCTTTTTTTCAGATTAATCAACTCCCTGACTGGGTCTGACTTCATTGAAACACCCGAGTGGAAAATGGGAATCACTCTCTTAGAGCTGATACAAAACAAAAAAAAAATCTACTCCTCTCACATCCTAGTCCCAATTCTATTTGATCTCCTCAAAAAGTAAGTGATGATTTGAATTTTTCTAGGTTTGGGTCTGTTATGGTATTGCAGCTAGCAGTAATCAAGTGATACTAATGCGGATATACCCACTTACGCGGAAGACTATTGTTCAATTACACATACCAATGCATTTCGGGGATTCCCATTTTCAGGGCGCTATTTAAATTTAATTAATAGAGAAGCTCTGGAGTACAAAATGTTACAAAGATACAAAGAAAACATGGAGCGACCTAATTGGAGGAAGCTGGTGGTTGCAATAGATGAAGGAGGTAAGGAGTAAACTAACTAACAGCAACAAGCAACCCACAAAAGATCTTATAGTTCGTTCATCATTTCTCCTTAGTCTACAGCAGACACCCATTTCAACGCTTAGGATTGTTCTGTTTTCCCTTTATTCTTTTTATCTACAGCTTTGTATATCAATTTCAATTATCAGCCTACTGTTTCGTAGAAGAATTTGGGTTAAATTTAGTTATTAAGAGCCTGAGTTTGTAGTAATTGGAGGGTCATTCCATGAGAAATCATCCAGAGGTGGATGCTTGACCGACTCATAAATCTTTTATGCGATATTGTGCATACACCATCTGGAAAATGTTGTGTTTTAAAATTTTTATTACAGACTAGAAGAGAAATCGAGCAATTTCCCCCTAACTTCAATTCAATTTTCTGCAGGATATCTTTTTAGTCCAGTCATTTTGCTAAATACTTATGAATGTAACACTGATCGTGAGTTTGTTTGCGCTCAAAAGCGAATTGCAGTAAGGAAGTTTTAAGTATTTATTGTTATTAGGGCTTATTGCACCTGAGCTGCTTTTTTTAACTTCTCGAGTGCCGCATTTAAAGCTTCAAATCATCAAAATTATGTGGAAGCTTCCATTGACCAGATAATATCGTCAGGATCATTTTTTTAATTAAAATTTTGAATGACCATTCATAGAATGACCCTGGACGTATTTATGCCAAAGGGAATCATGTTGTTTGCAAACCCTAGCTCATTGTTCCTTTTAGTATACATTCTTCCAATTTTATAATACAAGAAACATGGAGCAATGGAAGACTAAAATTATATTTTCGGGCCCTTTATTTGGTTTCCAAAAAGAGCTCTTAAGTTAAAAATATGAGATCTACCAGTTCTTTAATGGTGCAACATGAACGTTTTAAACCCTAGAATTGAGTGCTTCCTGGAACAAATGAATTTCTTGCCTCTCCGAAAATGAAATGAATCGAGGTATGCGAAAACGTCCGATGTCCATTTTTTTGGATTTTGAGTTTTTTGGCTTAACGTCATCTTCGAGGGTAGGCGCATCTATGTGTAGACGGATTTGATCTGTTTTTTGTTTTTTCGCCCCCATTTAGGGGGTCGAACCTCAAAAATATGCGAAAACGTCCGATGTCCATTTACGAGGGTCATCCCATGAGGTTCCCTACCTCTTATCTTCCAAACGGAAAGAGATAAATCAAATCGGTAAATAAGTTCTTATAAGGCATACTCTAAGCTTTAAAAGAAGCTCAAGTTTTTGAAAATTGGTCGAGGGGTTCGCGAGGAAACTTAATTTTACTGCGACAACTTCCTGTCGCCGCGCGCCCACCTTCGGAGTCTGGATGCGCGGAGAGTCGATTATTTCAGACTTGGGTTTTCGCTGCTAAGCATCATATCAAAAAGAAATTTGAAGGTTTTTATTGAGTAGACCTTACCTTACTTTTTGACGTAGTCTCCGCCTCTGTTTTGACATTTCTGGTGCCAATATTGCAGCTTCTTGATGCCTTCCGCGTAGAGGCTGGCTCTTGTCTTGGCACCGGAATCCGTCATTGACAGTGCTCTGTACTTCCGAATCATTCGGATTCCGCTTTCCACCGAGGAAGTTTTTCAGCTCAGTGAACAGACGAAAGTCACATGAGGCTGAATCGTAAGAGTACGGAAGATGGAGGGAAATTTTCTTATGCAAAGCAACTGATTCGGAAGTGTAGAGGGCTTGTCAATGACTGGTTTCGGTGCCAAGACAAGAGCCAGCTTGTACGCGGAAGGCATCAAGAAGCTGCAATATTGATACCAGAAATGTCAAAACAGAGGCAGGGACTTCGTCAAAAAGTAAGGTAAGGTCTACTCAATAAAAACCTTCAAATTTCTTTTTGATATG